ATGAATAGCAACCGTTAGTTGTCGAAAGTAAAATTCTACTCCCTATCAGAGAGTTTTAAGTGGCACACCAATAACGAATCGCTAAGTCATTCGTTGAGTTATTTTTGACAGGGATGGCGAATAATGGTGACTGGAAAAAGTAGTTTATATGACCACCAAAGCGAACCGTGGTAATTTGACAGTAGTGATTACTGACAATCATGACAGGTTGCTTATTTTCTATTTTGATGTGAGGCAATCCCCAAAAATTCAAATCTTTGTAAAACTTTTTCATAGAAAAGTTTCGGTAATATTTGTATTCTGATTACTTTAAAATGGCCCAGACGCAAATTACGACGGAACGCAGTGTAAATGAAGATGGAGTTAGTTATTTTTGGTTCTTAGGTATTATTTCATTATTTGATAATGCACTCGTAAAATGCAAACAATTAAAAAAAACGGACTTACGACTTAACTGTCTCAGCGCTTCACCTGGTGTATATAAATAGAGAACACAACTTTGATACATACATTGTTTTTCTTTTTAAAACCCACCCTGCACTTTTTTGTATTTGAAGAAGGTGTTCAAAATGTCGTCCTGCACTTTCCACGCAAGCTTCATTACGACGAACCCAATTTCTTCTTACTCTAGGTCCTCGAAGTTGTCCATTTATTATTTCAGCCGCATTAAATTTTTTTTCGCGAAGTTGTGCTTCAGTTGTTATTGGACCAGCCTCATAAACCATCCCTTTAAGTTCTCCCCAATACCAGAAATCCATCAGATTGAGGTCAGGAGATCTTGCTGGCCATTTTCGAGGATCAGGAGCATTTCGACCGATCCAGCGATTTGGATAATGTTCATTCAAATACTGAATGACGCCTCTAAAAATGTATGGTGGTACCCCGTCATGAAGAAACCACAAATTCTGTCTCCGTTGTAATGGCATGTTGCCTAAGGTCTGTTCCAAAAGTTCTGGTAGGTTATAGGCTAGAAAGCTAAGGTATCCTTCTCCTGACAACTTTGGGGGTAACTCGTCAAGAATACCCGCCCACATATTTATTTTAAAACGTTGTTGGAAATGACCTTCACGAATGGTATGAGGATTTTCTTGGGCCCACGTGTGAGTATTATGTAAATTTAATATCCTGTCGCGCGTAAAAGTACATTCGTCCGTCGCTAGAATGTTTTTAAAAAAATACGGATTTTCAATGTTTTTGTGCAAAAATCACTGACAGAATGTTAGTCTGCGAGGATAGTCTTCTGCTAACAAGGCCTGCACTCGTTGTACATGGTAGGGATAAACAAATTTTCTCGTAGGATTCTATGGACTATGGTATGCGATAGTCCTACGCGGCGGCCTAATTCCCGACTGCTGATATCTGCATTGATTTCCACGATATTTAAAATTTGTTCCTCCTCTCTACAGCAACCTGTCTTTCACGAGTGCGAATATTAGTGAGCTGAAAACTTCATGTATCTCTGTCACGATAAATTTGAGCTGCAAGATTTGAATTCTGACGAGCTTCACCGTAAACTAACAACATGTCGGCGAACTCTTGATTCGAGAACATTTTAAATAAACACGACGACGTACGCGAACAAAAACAAAACAACATACTAACCACTGTTACCGTTTGCGATCGATTGCCGGTTCGATAAGAGTGACGCGCTGTTGTCATGTTTTTTTTAAACATTTAATTTAATGAAACTCTCTTACTTACTGACTACAAATTTTGGCTTAACTTAGAAAAACTTAATGCCATTTATTTGTTAATTACCCAATTTAAAAACGTTTTGGATTAGATTATAAAAAATAGTAAGATTGTGGTGATTGTGGTCGATATACAGCACTTAAAGTTGTAAACTATAAAGCCATTTAGACAAAAATCTATTGACTTTTGGACCATGGGTCATACGAACTTCTTGACTTGTTTGGACCGCCCTATTACCCATTTCAATAATGACTACCATAACTGTAGAACCAGGAGAACTAGAATAAAAAGTTGCATTGCATATTGGCTATATAACAAAAATCGGGACAATGTTATTCATTTGGAACACTGCGTATTTCTTGAATTCACTTTTATCTGTTATATAAAACTAAAAATGTTAACTAATATGCTTTATAACTTGAAATTAACCAAATAAAACGTCTCCATTTATCATATTCTCAGGTCCGATTTCTCCAGCTTTATTGAACTGACCCTGGATACGGTATTTACTGGCATTATTGATCCTAGTCGATGAGTACTTTATGAAGTCCGTAATCGTAACGGACTAATCGAAATCAGAAACGTCAGCGAATTACTAACGGCGATTATAAAAGTTGAGATCAAGCGTCATTTGTTGAAATCTGGCCTTAATGTCCCACGGTCAATAGCCAAGCGGAAACACTGCATTAGATAATGGCCATGCTTGAGAAGTGCGAATTCAGTGGTATGGGCAAGATAGCAGAAAAATAGTAAGTGGCATTCGCGACGTGTGAGCTACCCATGCAGTGAAGGCGATACATAGTACGAGTTTTGCGTTTGACAGCCTCATCTACATATTATGTTTACTTCCTACGCCAACTCACTAGGAAGTATTGTAATTGCGAAACATTTCGAAATTGAGATACTATGTTATGTTTTTTTGGAGGTTATATGGCATGTACATTACGAAAAACCATGTCACTCGGTCTGTCTGTCCGTCAGTCTGCCCGCTTATCTTATAATCGCCTATAACTTGATTTTGATCAACTTCTCATGCAACGTTTTCTATCACCACATCAATGTGTGGTAATACGCTCTCTACAAAATTCAATACGGGATCCTCCTTGAATGAAGTCGGAGCTCCTCCACCCGTCAACAGTCGAGTTTGCCTTTCTGCAGTATCCTGCTTACGCTTTCTAGGACAAATAGAAGATGAATTTATATTATATCATTCAATTCCACATGAATTGCATCTCACAAGAAATTTTCGTGAGACTGTCATAATTATTATGAGCTTATTGGGGCTGTGGGGTACCATGGCCGATAAGTACATTATAAATGTTACTTACTTTTGCCTGATATTCACCCAGCATTTTTTTAGGTGTTTGACGCTTCTCTTGAAAAATGCTGCGCATTGAAGTCCTGGGCAATCCGTTCCCAGGCTCCGTTTTTTTCTCTGGCGCTCACTCCATCAGTTTTTTTACTTTCCACCACGTCGCCATACTTTTTTATTATACTGAGAAGCTCGAGTTTTTCATTTTCAGCCATATATTTTGGCATAGAATCCATTATTGTATTGAAAACCCCAGTTGCTACACCTTTAGTATTACTCAAAGACGTTCTATCGTAAGAAGCTTCTGATCCCGGTAACAACTGGAAAATTAAGTGATAAAAGTCCGATGTATAATGTGCTCATAATTCGGAATAACTTGCATCATTTTGTAAATGATGACACAACTGTTTTTATATCCACACAGATATTTTGCTGTATTTTATGATCCTTAAATATGCCAACCATTTCGTTTAGTGTGTCTATGATGGTTCTCTGAATATTTCGATAAGTAGATTGACTCAGTACTTATGACGCATTGATATACAACAGACACAGACCGACAAACCGAGATAAATGAGAAACACGGATTTGTATATGCAAACGTCTTTAAGCAACAGAAAACTAGTGAAGTTTAGTTCGAAGATTATCGCGAGTTTAATACTTCCATCGTTTAGGTAGGATGAAAATTGTGGTTGGAAGCTGTGTGCGGTAAATTGTTGAACATTTGGTGCCAGTGAAAGATCTTCTGTTATTAAGAAGCTGCTGATCTCAGTGATACCTGTTAGACATAAGTCACACATATTTTCCATACATCTGTCATGGAAACAGAAATTTGATAGATTTGATTGTTTATAGTTTTGTAAGCAGAGATCGAAGATTCAACCTACCTAATCATGATTCGACTTTGCCTTATGAAACAACATAGAGTCAATCTACTAGAAGCCACTTTTTACATAATATGAGTAGAGTTTCGTTGACAAGTATAAAACAATTTAATACGAATTTTTTTATTTTTTCATGAAACCAATTTTTATGAATTCTAAATATTTTGTTAAATAAACACAATGTTAAGCTTTAACGATCCTTATTCACTGGATTAATAACAGCGGGTCACCGCACGCGCTATACGGCAAGATGGTCGCGATTTTACTCGTACTTTTATTAGGCTGCGGTTACCGCGATCGACATTTGCAAACAATCGGTGGTTTTTGTTCACTCGCCCACTGGCGGATTTTGGCCAGGTGTTGTGGTCCCACTGCACGGATTTATTTGACGTGAGATTATACTCGGGAGCGTTTGTCTGACGGTCAAAATTAAAATAGGCATATGTATTTTCCAGAGTCTGATAGGTCAATCGGTAGTAAATCAAGGTGCAACTTTTGTTCATGGGAGTGTTTTTGCCACAGCCGGGCCTATTCAGTGACACCCCAGAGCAGAGAAACTGCTCTCCCATTTTGAATTGGTCAGCGACAAAGTAGGGCTCGAGAGCATAGATAGTCCTCAATTTCAGTCTGCCCACCCCTTCACTGTAGACTTGACTCTGACCAGGAATAGCAGCAAATTGTTCAGATAGTAATAATGATGTGCTTTATTTTCCCACTGTACAAACAGCAGAAACGTAGTAGAAGAAGCTGATAAATTACAGTACAATGAGAAAACCTCAAGGGTGATAAATATGCTCTGCCCTCAACCTTTGCTAGTATAATCATTCAAAATAATTGTCTAATTAAGGAATTAATACAAAAGTGTCTTTGTAAGAGTTTCCTGATTATCATCGATCTAATATTATTCTTGGATCTCATTCATTAGAAGTTAGCTTCTAAAAAATAAGAATTATAATCTCAAAAAATACTCAGTCAATTCTGCAGCTCCGTATTTTTATGACTTTAACGGTCAGCTTAAAATAAGCCATTAACTGAAACTGGATAATGTGAGTATTTTTGTAGTTTTATCAGTGTTAATCACTTTCAACTAATATGGATGAAGTATTTTTCAGTTCCAGGTACTCTAATTGAGCTCCAGTCTGCAAGTGTTGAGAACTGCCTGAACGTTTGTCATAACTTTTTATGAACGACGAGACACGCATTATAATGAATACCTGTAAGTGTAAGTTTTATGTTTGTAACACACACTCTATTTTTATCATTTTCCTAAAACAAATACGAATAATTTATATCGGTTCACAGTACGTTCAGGTCAAATTCAAAATGAACCAATTTTTTATTTTAACTAATTTGTAGAATGTTTCCTATTTATGTAGTTTTATAGCAAATTCAGTATAATGTGAAAAACGTTTAAACATTGAATTAAAGTTATAGATCCTAAATCAATAAAGGCTACAAATCCATAAGATTGTAGACATTAAAAATCAATATCTTATTTGATAGCAAACTGATAAAAAATTGTATATTTGACTAGTATACTTATAGAACTGTTGTATTCATATAATTCAAGTTCGGTTGAAACCCAAGCACAAGTGCAGTACACTTTCTTGGGTATCCTATATTTATTGGATACTACCGTTATTATTAATACGAAAACTGTGTAGTAAGACCAATTAATACGAAAACTGTGTAGTAGGACCAATAAACATTATTATTATTATTATTAATTGTACTATGTGCAGTTATTCAAATATGTAAGTACATTTTCAGAATCATAACTTTATCATCAGATCAGGGTTTGTACGAAATTCACTGCTTCTTAGTTTTTGGTTTACTTACCACATTTATAAGCTAGCTGCCCATAAGAAACTCACCTGAAAAAATACAATTATTAGTTGAATTGAAAATGTGGAAAGTAACAATTATTGGGTACCTAATTTGTAGTTAAGGCACCTTACCCCGTGACCCACATGCAAATGCAATTATCAGAAACAAGCTGTTACGGTTTTTAAGAATTAAATTATATAACATATGCTAAGAAATCAATTTGATCGTTTTTCCCTGATTGACAGCAGAAGAAATTATGAAATGCAGTAGGCTTCCACCTAGAAACATCGTTAAAATATCAACGCTTCATCACTTCAAGGTATGCATGCTGTGTGCACTTCCAGGTACGTTTAGAGAAGATTCCACGAACAAATGTACTGTTGTAAAACAGCTTAGCAGGTCGGTTCTACATGATGCTACTGTACTCTGGAAACGTGCTTAGAATTTATACTGGCTACTTATCAGTCTCCTAACAGGTGAATAAACAACATCGATAGACCTCATTTGTCAGTTTTATTAACCAATAGAAGACGTTTAACGTCTAATGAAGTTGTGATCAGAACATTATCTCCAAGTGACGCTGCCATTCATTTACTGAAAACAAACATAATTTTGAAGTAAAAACCTTGATCCTCAGATCTAAGGACATGGTATGAAGCAGTTTCGGCAACGAGTTATCAAGGTTTCCAGATTCTCAAAAAATATACTTTTTAACAAAATCACGACTCAGTTTACAGGGGGAGCAGGATTTTTTATTGTTACAGCTGAAAGTTGTCATGTGACAGTTTGTCTGGCAACTAAATGAAAGCAATAGGACAATGATACAAATAACAACTCTGATGACAATATATTTTATCTGTTTGGAAGACAGATCGTTTGTTTTTTTATGATCAAATTTGGTTGAGTGTTCTTGAAGGAAAGATCTATTCTCCAACGCAAGTAATGAACCGTATTTTTTTTACTTATGATTTGTTATAGGATCTCATCTGACGGTAAAACTAATGTGTCTTATATTATTTCCTCATCAACATGGTTCCCTTCAGATGTCAAAGTACTATTTCTGGTATTTCAGATACATAAACAATTTTTGCATTTGCAGTCGAAGATAACCGGTATGTTGCGACTACAGTTCTAGGTGGATTTCATGCTCGGTCGTCGCTGCTGGGAGGCTGGACGTTCTTTTTGGAGCAACAAATTGCTTTGATGGATTCGAGCAATCTCAGCATTTTACAAAACCGTTCACACTGTTGTGATAATGTACCGTATAGGAATGTGAAAAGGAAAAAAAAACAAATCAACTGTCACCTGAAAGACAGAACAACAAAATATTTGTCATCAGAATTGTCATTTGTACTTGAAAAAGGCCATAGTGGTTGCCAAAACATTGGGTCAGTAAACAGTAATTCAAACATTTGTGGTTACAGTTAGCGGCCCGAAAAACGAGGAGGATTATAACATTTTTTATTATCAAAAATTAAAATTGAAAAGGCATATACATTTTTTCGACTTATGACATCTTTACGTTTCCGTTGAGAGATCGGCTATGTGCTAAACTCATTGAAATTGTACAAGTAGTATGTATAAGAAAGAAACATCGTTTCAAAGAGCAACATATTCGTAATCTTACTTCCCTCGACTTGTTGTCTCATCTTTTGGAGTTAGCCTCTCGGTAGACATATTCTAAAAGCACACATATATATATATATATATATATAACAAAAAGTAGGAGAATGATGGGCAAAATCCGCAAAAAGGAGGAAAGTGGATTCAAGCAGAAAATAGGATAGGTAACCCGAGCGATACGTATTTCTGCTGGTTGGCTTCATCAGGCCCGAAATGAATGCACATATGCAACTACAAAAGTAGATACACATGCTCATACATCCGGATACGGGTGTAACCTGAGGAAACAAAGATGGAGAGGGAGAAAAAACTCACACATGAAGTCCACAACAAGAGCCAACCTACACATTGTAGTATAAAGTGGTTAGAAGACCTAAAATTTTCAAGGCGACATCTAACCACAACCACGCGACCGGTTATAGCCACTTGATGTGGTACTTCAAGCCCAAAGGATCTACAAAGTATCGTATCGCTCGGGTTACCTATCCTATTTTCTGCTTGAATCCACTTTCCTCCTTTTTGCGGATTTTGCCCGTTATTCTCCTAATTTTTGTTATATACCTTTCTCTGCATGATCATTTTCTCTTTATATATATATATATATATATAAATCTTTTATTGTAGGCTGCAAAACTCGATTTTTGGATTTCAGCATTGCTCCTTAGTTTCATATTTGACAGAAATCATTCAGGAAATGACAGCTCTTTGGCGGTTTATGTTTATGTTTTAGTATGTGTCAGGGCGGCCATGTGATTTCAAACTACGTTAGTCAATTTTTTCTTGTCAGTTTTCAAACTTAAGGCACGAAGACAAAAACACATAATTAGACACTAACCTACCGCGTGGGTGACAATACTCAATGAATGAATAAGAGAAGGCTAATTTGTAATTTAGATAAAACAATAAGCCGTATATGGGGATAGGTCATTTAAATTTATGGTTATTATGCAAGTGGAAAGTAATTCTTGTCATCGACGACAGTGGCGTAGCATGTTATAGCATTGATTAACGTATTCTACCTGAAGATAGCCAACATAATATTATATTTCCTCATCCAAAACATTTTTAAAATTCTCATAAGATGGGCTAATTTTTTCGATGCGAGAATATAGCATTAAGTTTGGCTATCTTCAGGTAGAATACGTTAATTAATAGTAGCTGAAATTTTTCACTACAGAGATTTTTATATGCAAACTATCACCAGCTTTGAAGTTATAGATCTATTTCACCATGCTGGAAAGCATATTCTAATTTTGTAATGACGTTAAGGATTTCAGAACAGAGTAAGTAATCAGTGGAAAGTATTAAGAATTTCACAGCGCTCTCGTTTTTAGATGTTTTTGATATTCAGATAATTTTTTGTCGTAATCACAAAAGTTTGCTTGCAACTGTAACCATTTTTAAAAAATTCTAAAATTATTTCTTTTATATTATTCATGTTTCCCGTAGTAAAAAAATTAGAGGATTCTAAAAATTTGGAATCAGTCAGGGTTAGAAATTGCTTTAAAAAGAACTAAACCTAAAATACTATTTGGTGTCTTGTAGGTCGAGGTTTGTACTGCAATTTAGACAACAAATAATAATTTTTAACCGAGTTTTCGAGAATTTAGAATGGCTATTTTTAGAGTATTTAGCACATGGATCCGTTTATAACTTATATCCGCTTTGGGGAAAAGTTACTAAGGACCTTTTTTGTTCAGAATGTCTAAACTCTAAAAGAATCTTGTCTGGAGCTAACAAATTATTCACGGGTGCATACTGAAATTTGAGAAAAAATTTTGCCATTCAATGGTCTCGCCGATGTCTAGAAATAGCTCTGGTAACTGTTTTGAAAATCATTATTTTGAGGTCGTCAAGTGTCAAAATTAAAGTGCAAACCTTACCCTACAACACCCAAAAGATTATTTGAGGCTTAGTTGATCTTAAAACATTTTTTTATCTTTGCTTGGCTAACAGGCTGAACATTCATATTAAAGTTCGAAGTGCTGAGGCAATTAAAGGGTACTATAAAAGTTTTGCAATATGACTGAACAAACGGAGGCTGCATGTTACTGCATGTTGAGACATGTTCATGAGTGCATAGTAGCCGCCAGCAGCACGTCTGTTGATTTAATTGTTCATTCGTATTGACAGTGTAAATTGCGGACTATGGCATTGTGGTCACGTAGTGTGATGAGGCAGTTTTACGGTATAACTTTACAGGTGGTTTAAGCATAGACCAGTGCTTAGAATAAATGACACTTGCATTGCACGACTATATTCAAGTGGTACAGAGAATTCCAAGGGGGCAATTTCACTCTGGAGGACGCTGAGAGGGAAGGAAGGCCGCGAACGTCAGTAACAGAGGGAAGTATTACTGCTGTGTGGAAAATGATTGAAGAAGACCGGAGAGTGACATACCAACCAATAGAGGAGACCTTACACCTTCATGCACCAGCAATTGATTCAGAATGTGTGCATGTTGCATGCACACGTGGTTCCTCGCCAGATTCCGTGTAGCGTGGTAGTTGCAGTATAAAAAAATCTGTATGACCATTTACACGAAAGGAAACTTTGTTCTCTATGGGTACCGCACAGTCCTCCGGAAGAGCAGAAGACTCGTCGTACGACTTGGTGCCGAAAGATGCTAAAAATGTTTGATAAGGGGCAATCTCGGTATGTGAACAGCATTGTGCCAGGTAACGAGACTTGGCTCTATTATTACGATGTGCCGACCAAGGCTCAAAACAAAGTTTGGCTCTTTGTTGACGAGGACACACCCGCAGCTGTCAGAAAATGCCGATCTGTTAAGAAAAAAATGACAGCTGTATTTTTCAAATCGAGCGGAATTGTAGAGCGTGTCGTTTTGGACACACAGAAGACAGTCACAGCTAAGTGGTATCCGGAACAGTACCTGCCTAAAGTCTATGAAAAATCTGCAGGCAAAGGCCAGATACTCCACCATGACAACGCTCCAGCTCAAAGCCTGCACCGAGTATTTGACCACTACGGGACTGAAACTTATTGAGCACCCTCCTTACAGTCCAGATCTTGCTCCCTGCGACTTTAAACTGTGAAAATGAAGCTAAAAGAAAAACGGTTTTAGTGGATGGAGGATTGTAACATATTGAATGTGGTGTAAATTACTTGGAACGAAGTCAATAAACAAAGCTGTATTGCAAAACTTTTATAGTACCCATTTATTTATATACTTGACTGATCGTTTTGCCAGTTAGATTTAATTCAATTAACTATGAAGCTCTAATAAAATTTGAAATGCGTGTCACCTTGGAACGTCACTGTCTAAAGGAGACTGCATATCCAGTCACAAGTTTGAAGGTGTGCCCAAACTGTATGCGTACCAGACAGACAGACATACACACAGACACGGGGGGGATTATTGATCTTGCTGTGAGCGGAATTCACTTTTGGTGTGTCTTGCCATTCAAAGCAGATTAAGCTGTTCGATGTACGAGGGAAGGGTCAAGTTGAAAAGGCAAGCGCCTATGGGCACGGTCAGATCCCTTGACAGGATTTTGATGAACCTCTTTAGCACGTACGAACACATTTCCATATTGATGGAACCGAATGATAAAATCTGTTGTGGCTTAATGCGAGAGAATAAGGGGTTACAAAGAATATGGAAATATAACCGAAAATATGATAATTAATATTTATAACACACTCCTCCAACAAATTGTATCGTGTTGGCTACATATGAATGTAATGAGCATTTCTGTTCTTATTTTCTGGTAAATTTGAGTAAAGTCAAGGTGACGTTCAATGGTGGGCGTATATACATTAGATTCATTTGAAAACTTCTCTCCACTGATTTATCGAAATCCACTGAATAAAAGAGAAAAAGCCGGGACACGTCAAAAGATTTGTCAAGGG